CCTACCTTATATTAAATAAAATAATGCATACAAACACTGTAAATTGTATAGTGCTAATCTAATATTGTTAATAAACCAGCGTCTGTATATATCCTGTGGCCTTGATTAATCTCTAATCCAAACATTCCTTCCAGTTGTCTAATACATAGCAAAGTGAGAAAAATCACTATGGATTAGATTCTTTAAGATCCCTGAGATGGTTTTGTCTTGAGAGTGGCCAGCTGTTCCCACATCTGAAGGACCGTCATTTGACCTTATTCTTTCCAGAATCATTTCTGATTGTATAGCAAAGATAAGGGCAATTAATGACTTCCAATTCTGAAATTCTGCGACTCTTAATTTCTTTGCCAAAGTTGACTATGAGTTGGGATTAGTATGACTGTCTTCCTAAAAGGGAGTCTCCTTATGGCTAATGAAGTTGTTGCTGAAAGATTTCCCATCTGTTTTCTTCTCAGAGGTTGGGTATGAAAGGCGTAAAATTAGGATGCTTTTTGCATCACATATGATAGAAAATTCCATGCTATTTAATGTTATCAGTCCAGGAGTGGGTAACATGAGTAGATGAGATGAAATCTCAAAAGTAATCATGTGTGTAACTTTTTTTCAAAAGCGTAGACCAAACAAAGAAAAAAACCCCGTCATGTCCCCACTACTACCCTCATTAATAAAAAAAATATGGATATAATTTTTAAACAATTACTTTTTCTAAACATTTTTCTATTTATTCTAAATGTCTATGGCTTTAGGAAAAAATATCACATGCTAATAATTATCTATTTAAAGGGGGTAGAATTTATCATACTCTGATATTCTTATCACTTGTTTCCACAACTTCAGTTTACTATTGGACTTTCAAAATTTCAAAAATTTAAAGAATTACAAAAAAATTCATTCAACACCTATGTGTGAACAGTAATACACAATAATTAGTACAAAATGGTGCTTCAACAAATCGAGTTTTCTGGGATAGCAGTAGGTAAATAAAAGTTTTGGTAAAAGTATCAAACTTGATCTTGCCTATTTTTCTTCTAAACTTATTTAATCAAAACATTATAGCTTTGCATAAAATATAGTGAGAAATAGATAAAATTGGAGTATTTTGGGATTCATTTGTGGAATTCAATCTCAGGAGACTTCATTGGTGACACACTTGGTTTTATTGAGTAATTAGCTGAAAATGTTGGTCACTGGTGCACAGTTCAGGTAGCTTTAAGATGAGACGGAAAGGAGAAAACAATGAAGATTTTGGGTAATGGACCTTCTTAAATGCACTGTTCAGACCAGATGAACCCTTCAGAGATGACTTCTGTTTTAAAAGAACACACTTAAAAATACCACTGACTATGATGAATCCAGATCCCTGCAGAATGGCACTATCCTATTTTTTTTTTACTGTTTTAAGTATTTTCATATGCTTCTTAATACTATAATGAATTTGGAAGGACTGAAGACAGTAATTTTTAAAAGTTCTCAGGTACCATTCAGTTATTTAATTGCTAAGTGTGACGTCAACATGCAATCATTTTTAAAATGTCAAAATGCCTTTTATTGTACATAATATTTTATTACCTTTGTAATATCTTTGTATACAGTGATTTTTTTTCTTGGTAATATAATAAATGGAAAAAATTCTAAAACTCTTACTAAAATTTTGTTGCTATTTAAGAATATCAATGAGGTTTTCTTCATATTTATAGCATCTTCCTTATAGGGAAAGGAAGATGTTTGCTTAGAAACATTAGGCATTTTTATGGAATACTATAGCTGAATATACTTGCATATGTAAAGGTCCTTTGAAATGTAAATAAATTTTGTAGAGCACTGAAATGTCTTTCTAAAAGATTTTCATTTTCTACCTTCCTGACTTATTTCCAGCCTGTCTCCCTTCCTGAATAATTCAGGACAAAAGTTATTCGCTTATTTTGAGCAAGGTGTACAAGTAGTAGGTATTGCCACAGGGGGTGAAGGTAGTGGCCCATTGTGGGATTACAGTGTGGAACTGAGGAGAACATGTGAGGATAGTAGGGAGGAGGGGCATCTCGGTGATCTGGAATAAGGATGCAGCAATAGGAGATTGGTTATTTATGAAGGGGACTGATCTATTAAGTAAATATATTAAGGCTAATGTGAGCCAGTTTTCTCACTGTTAGAGGAAAGGAATTACAAATATAGAAAGGGAGAAAACTAGAATAAGGTTGGAATTGGAAGTACTGGTATAAACTCATAGTTTTCAATATATGTAGATAAAGAAATACATAGATGTAATTGTGTGTGTCTGTGTGCATGTGTGTCCTCGCACGTGCCATGAGAGAACTTGGGAGCAGCAGTGCCACAATAGCAATGAGCACACCTACTGCTCAGATCTTGGGTTTCTAAATATCATTCTCCACTAAAAGGAACCAGTTCTTCCTAGAGAAATGGCCCATTCCAGGACTGGTGCAGATGAAATACAAGATGGTCCTGAGTGTCTTTTTGTATTAGAAAAGTGGGAACATGCTCCAAGAATGATGGGGACCTGTCAAAAGGACACAGGAGCTAGCCTGAAGGGGCACGCACTGGCCAAATGAACACTTAAAAATCAAAATAAATGTTAGTAACAAATTATAACCCATTGAAGAAAATAGAAAGCCACGAATCCACAAGAAGGGAAAGTTCTACTTTTCAGTGGAATGCCAACCTATAAATGTAAAAGGAATGATGGAATTAGAAAATCAGTATTTGACTGTAATAATTGAGTCAGATGAAAATCTTCAATGAATGCTAAAACAAGTGAGTTAAAGTTTGATAGTTTCTCTAAGAGACAAAAAAGTAAAAGTGGAGAAACTTGGCAGACACTACCTTCATTAACTGATCAAAGCCCAATCATCAGTACTGCACAAATCAAAATTGTGACACCTGATAAGATACAAGATAAAAATCTCTTCTGTGGTATTCTTGCCAGAAATGTACAACCTGAATCTAATAATAAGGAAACATCAGGCAAACCCAAACTGAGGAGCCATCTACAAAATAACTGGCCTGAAATCTTCAAAAATGTTAAAGTAATGCAAGTCAAGGAAAGATGAACTGTTTGATTGGTGGAAACTAGAGACATAACGACTAAATGCAAAATGTGATCCCTTGACTGTGAAGGACATTGTTGGGATAACTGGTGAAACTTGAGTGGGGTCTTTGGATTAGATAATAGTAGTATCAGTGTTAATTTCCTGATTTTGATAGTTACATTGTGGTGAAGTAGAAGAATGTCCTTGTTTGTAGAAACTACACACTAATGTATTTGGGGTGATGGGGCATTGTTGGCGCAATAGTGCAGGGAAAAAAGTTCTTTGTACTTTTCTTGCAACTTTCCTGTAAGTTCGAAATTATTTTAAAATGAAAAAATTAAATTAAAAATAGGATCATAAAAGTAATACTTTCAATAAAAAAGGGTACTATTTTTAAAAGTCTTACATCAAAGTTCATTTTTTTATGTGGACTTAAAAATCAAAGAATGAAGCTCCAAAAGATCTGCCTAAGTAAGATGTTTTTCTCTTTGGAAATGGAACTTTAACTTCTAAATTTATTTCACATAATTTGCAAATGTAACCAGTTATCTTACCTGGGAAAATTTTCATTTTACCAAGTTTATTTGTTTATCTGTGTTTACTTTTCCAGGTATTCAGAGTTGACATTTTTCCTAAGCTAACCTACAGACTATATTTGGGACAGAGAGATACTAAGAAGTACCAAGGGCCCTTTCTCTTAAGTGTTATTTAAAAGACTTTTAATTTAAACAAATCTATAAGAGGAGATCACAAAACTAATTTAAAAATATTTTTATATAGACAAAAGTGAAACTATAGTACTCTCATTACTTAATGTTCCCAGTTCTGCATAAAAAACAAAGACCTACATTAATTTTTAACAACCTTTATCTCATAACTATATGAATATTTGGAATAAGTAAAGTATTTACAGCTAATGTTTACTCTCTGCTTGAAATTTTGTATAATCTCAGGAATAGAAATTTAAGAAATAGAAGTTTTCTAATTTAAGTTTGCTATATAAGGAGGTTCTTAATTCTTCCATTTTGCAAATCCACTGAATTCAACCCTGAGCCAAAAAGAAACATGCAAAAGACTATCTCCCAAATTATATAAATCTCTTTTGTAGCAAAATTTCCCCAGAAACTGAGAAACATTCATGCACAGGTTCTTACCTTTTTTATCAAAAGTTTATTTCTATTATCCCTTTCTCATTTTCTGGTATTGAAAATAGTCAAAAAATTATTTGCTATTATTCACATATGAAACTTCATGTCATTTTCCTGATTTCTGCAGTGAATAATACATCTTAATATCTATGAACTACGTTTAATGTAGAGATGGGAAACTGAGTAATCCAATACTATCCAAGTCACATGTGTTCTAAAATAAGCTCAGTTGAATCAGGGTGATGTAAATTACACTTAAAACTGAATTGTAATGAGTCTTGTGTCCGAAACTTGTAATGACCCATCCGTTTTCTTTAGGTTTTGCCTGTTTAATGATTTTCTTCTTCATAGTACCAACTGATGATTCACTGATGAACAAATGGTAATCATATGAGATGAAATATACTTGGGCTATATTTTGGTAAACTCCTTGATTTGGTATGTAAATTCCAAAAGTCAGTTTTCATGGTTATGTGCATTTATTTTATTTTATTTATATTTTTGTGTGTGTGAGGAAGATCAGCCCTGAGCTAACACCCGTGCTAATCCTCCTCTTTTATGCTGAGGAAGACTGGCTCTGAGCTAACATCTATTGCCAATCCTCCTGCTTTTTGGTTTTCTTTCCCCCCAAAGCCACAGTAGATAGTTGCATGTCATAGTTGCACATCCTTCTAATTGCTGTGTGTGGGACACTGCCTCAGCATGGCCAGAGAAGCGATGCATCGGTGCGCGTCCGGGATCCGAACCCGGGCTGCCAGTATCGGAGCTCTCGCACTTAACCGCTAAGCCACGGGGCCGGCCCTTATGTGCATTTAAATGACATCCTCCGGTGCCTCCTTCACACCGTAGGTGCCCAATAATATTATTAGAAAGGACCCTAGAGACCAGGGAACTTCAGTTCTAGTCTTAGGTATGGAAGTGACTAACAATTTTAGATAATTCATTTAAATTCTATTCTTTGGTTTTCATATTTATAAAGTGGAGATGATAATATCTACCTGATGAAGATGTTTAAAATTGGATAATATATTGAAGCACTCCGGAATAATATCAGCTTACCTTTGTTTAGCAATCTCAACTTTTCAAAATCTTATCCCTGGGAATCAAGTTATTAAAGGCACTTGTGTCCTCTTATTTAAAAGATTTATGAAAGTCTCTTACCTCAATTCCTAAGGTTTCACTTTCCCTCCCAGGAAATGTATTGACAATTTTAGATTGTCAAAATAGTAACTTGAAGTCATTAAGATTTGTGACAAATCACACCAAAAGTACTTCTGTTGGAAATAGCTTGCTTGAAGCTTACTGGGAAAAATACTAATGATGTCAGATTTGCATTTGATATCTTAGAATTTTATAGGATACTATGCTGCATAAATTTAGATATAACTTGTATCAACATCCTTTTAAAAATTCAGAACATAATTTTAAAGGCGGTATGTCTCTTATGAAAGGAAATTTTGCTGAAAGAAATTACAGCTTCTCAGATTATCAAAGAATGTATCCTGTTTGTGTACCTCTCTAAATGAAAGAATTAAGAGAACGGTTTCATTATTCACAGTTTGGCTTGTGGGGGTCGGGGAGGGAATGAGAAAAATCATAAGACATCCTTAGAACAATTTAACACATACATAGATCTTGAGATGTTACAACAGATTAAAAAATATATAGATCAACATGATCCAAATGGTTTCTTCGACACCGTTATGGTGAGTAAACAGCCATTTTACAGTGTTTGCTGAATGGGTGTCCACATCATGCCAGGAAAACTCTACTCTTTGTTTCCAAATTTGAAAGCTAGTCATCCAGAGCAGGGGGCCAGTCAACATCTACAGACTAGAAGGAGGGAAACAAGTCATTAAAACATTACTGTTCTAGTAAGTATTTGCTGGTAATGCTGTATACATTTCATAGTTTTAATACAGTGCAACAGAAGAAAGTGCATTTGAAGAAAAGAGCCATTGAATACCACAATTTAACACTAAAATCCATTCTAGGACTTGGGGTTCTTGGGCCCAAGGCCTGTTCCTGAATTTATTGAGTATTTGGCTACTCAGCCACTTATTAACTGTGTCTTTTGACTGATAGGAGACTAGAGTACATTTAAATTTTTTAAATGTTATTTATGGGTAAAGTAGCAAACCAATTCAGGTGGCAACACCAACTTTCCCTCAGAAGTTTCAGCAACTTTTATTACTCTGATCATTTTCATTTTCCCATCTTGCACTTACCAAATATTCAAGTAGTTTATAAACTTATAGCCTTGCTTGTAAGTTAGCAACTAAATGTGAAAGAAATGAATATGAAAGATCACCTGGAACTAGAAAAGGGTTAAGGATCTTTGCCTATCCCTTAAGCAGAATTTTTGTTTCTTTCAAAATTGAATTTATCAACCTCTACTTACCCTGGTTTCTTCTAGAAAAAACTTTGATCTTCAAGTCATAATGAAATTATAATAGCAGACTATTTTGTCTCCACATAAACAATCAAGTTAGAATATGAAATCACATCTTGTCTTAACTACCCTAGAGGGCCGAATTTAGGAGAAAGTTTTTTTTAATCTACTGTACCTGTGTTGTTTTTTGAGACTTAAAAGTTTAAAACCTGAAATGATTTACTAAAAATGGTTTTTTTGTGTGTGTGAGGAAGATCAGCCTTGGGCTAACATCCATGCCCATCTTCCTCCACTTTATGTGGGACGCCGCCACAGCACAGCCTGACAAGCGGTGCGTTGGTGCGCGCCCGGGATCTGAACTCGGGCCGCCAGCAGCGGAGCACGAACACTTAACCGCTACGCCACAGGGCCGGCCCCTACAAATGATTTTTAAATTAATCTATGAGTCACTTCACATACTAGATTCAGAAAAATTTTATTAGAAAAGCCCAAATAACTTGCCGGGGGGGTGTGTGTGGGGGTGTGTGTATGTGTCTTTTACAAATCCCAAGAAAATATTTTGGTTCTGTTTCAGAATATAGCTGTATACCAGACACCCATATATAAGCTAATGGGTGGTTTTTCAAGCCTGAAAACTAAATGTTATCGATCACAATCTTGTGTGTGTTGAGGGCTGGGGTTCAGAAAGCTCCACAGGCGACTCTAATGGACAATGCGGGCTGAGAAACACTGGCTTGTGGATCCTTGACACTCCTAAGCTATTCCAAGAATTAAGGTCAAAGATGAATGCAGTTGGGATTTTCGTTAACAGGTTGTCTTCCTCAAAATGATAGTCTCACTGAGGAGGCTCCTTGCAACCTTGAAGGTGCTATCAACTGGCTGTACTGCAGGAGCCGTGTAAGATCTAATCTGAAAGCACTCAAGAGAATTGCTGGTAAGGTCATAATGCTCCAGCGATCATTTGATTATCATAGCTGTTTTCACACTGGGTAACTATAACCACTTCTTTTTATAACTGATATTATTCCCAAGTGCAAAATGCTAGCCTTTCCTAAATTTTTGTTGTTGCGGGTGGGGGAGGAGGGACTCTGTTCCTAATCAGATATTCGTCAAGGAGCACAACTTGTGACTCAACACTTACTGATGCTCAAATGAGGAAAATATTTATGGAGAATTGCCTGAAAGATCCATTCTATCCATTTTTCTAATTACTTAAGAATTTAACCTTGTTTCAATTCAGACTATAAAAGCAGAGAATTTGGTTTACATCATAGGGGTCCCTTATAGAACTGCTTTTATTAATTACCGTTGGCTCATCCCATTTTCTACCCCTGTCCTGAATATATGTTTCTGAGTAGGCTGCCTTAAATTCTTTATAAAACAAGATAGGAATGGGAATGAACTCTCTGAAGTCCATAGGACATATGAAGGACACTTACAACTTCATTTCCTTGCTTGGTTTAAGGGTTTAGATCTCATGCCATATGTAAAGCACAGTTAATAAATTCCCTATATATTTTCAAGGATCATAAATGAGACCTTGTATTTTTTTTTAAAGAAATAAAAATTCTGAAGATCTTCCTTCCCTGCAATATAATGCTTCTGTGAGATTTTGACCATTTTCAAATACCTATTAAGGTAAGTAGTACTATTTGGCTTAATGCCAAAAAAGCATAACCTTGGCTGAATTCAGTGTGTAAATGGGCATTTCCCCAACAAAATAGTTTACCTCAACATCCAGCTCAAGAATGTCTGCAGTCACATTCATCAGAGAGCCAATGTTTGGCTTGGTTCTCCCAAAGTCTCCGTGTACAAACTCTTTAATGTAGCTGGGGTTTGTTTAAGGAACAAATAAAGATAGCCATGCAGTACCAATTGTTTGGTGAGATTTGATAGGTGAAAGGGAAATGACAAACAAAAGCAGAAATGTTACAAAAGAGAAGTTATTTCTCAGCTGTGACTTGTGATGTGTCCTAGAAAATAAGCTATGGCAAACTGGTTCCTACCAGCCTGGCAGCCAACATCAGGACCTGGGACCTGTGTTTACATTAAATTTACCAAGAGTCATGACTTTCTTTTTTCTTTAGCTCATCTCTAGGTGCCAGGGTTTGGGTATGGATCTTTAAAATTAGCTGTAGTTCAAGGCTAAAAAAAAAACCTCACCTTTTTTTTTTTTGCCACAACTTCCATTTTGTCATCTTTCTGGTCCCATTTTTCAATAACAGCCCCTGACATCTGCCAGATAGTAGGTTTCCACTGGGTCACACACAGAGTGACCTCAATGATGGCTTTCCTTGTAACATGACCTGGTGACACAATGGCAGTAGGATGGGAGGGACAATGAGAATATTAATTTAGTCTTGATGAAGGCTCTTCAATAAGATTATCAAAGAACCTAAGTTCTAGTTGTTTGCTAACATGGTTAGCAAGAGAACTAAGTTAATTCTTTTTTTTTTTTAAAGGGGCAACTTTGTATTTCCTTCACAGGTCTTCAGACTTTGAAGTCAATGACTAATCCTAGAATTAGTTATTAATAAGATTATGTTAACATTCCTTACATAGAACTCTACTACAGCCTTGACAATATTTCTCTGAAAATATGTTTTCACCAGCATTCAGTAAAAACTCATTCAGCATTATGTTGTGTTCTACAAACCAGCACTTAGTATAAATTTTTAATGTACCTTGACTAGGAAAAATAAGTTTATTTTCAGATGATAAATAAAAAATTAACACCATAATGTGCTGATATTTATTCACTCTACTTTCACTAAATGTTTGGCTCAAGTATAAGACATGTAATTAGTAACTGTCTTCTTTGCTAAACTCATAATTACTCAACAATTGTCATTCTTTTTCTCTCACTTTCTTTAAAGAATGCTATTTCTGAATAGCTATAATGAAGGGAGATGACCAAAAAGCCCCAGAATAACCAGTCAAAAGGTCCAGAATGGTTCTTATTCATAGCCAGAGAGACAAGGTGTAAGTCAAATGAAGTAGTTCAGTGTACTGAGCAATATATGTGAAAAATTCATATACTACTGTGTATAACCACATGGTATCTAAGCCTTAGCAAATAGTCTTTCTTGGCTAATGCCTTAAGTACATGTACAAGGCTGGTTCTACAAATATTTTAATGAGATTGAAAAGACATTAGCTTCTACAAAAAACCACTGCATTTTCCCCTAGCACACCAAAACTAAAGCTGGGATTAGGTTAAGAATTTTTTTTTTTAATCTGTGATTTCTTTGAAAATCCATTTACATTTCATATACAATAGGCATATGTGCTCCAAACAACAAAGATACAAAGATCTGCCCACTGCAGTCTAACTAGATCATCCCTTGATCCAAACTGCAAAAATTTAGGAGATTTTAGGAGTAAATTTTAACCTATACCTGTTTCAGCTGGGTAAATCCCAGTCACTTCTGGGGTGAGGTAGGGGAGGAAGAGGGGGAGAGGAGGTTGGTGAGGAAGGAGAGGCAGACTAATTATAGCAATATGGTGAGAATAAAACTTGACATTTTTTTCCTTACATCCATAATATATCATTAGTTTTATACTAGTTAGAAGGCATTTTATCACTTCATGCTATTAGATCACAAAATAATATAAAACCAAGAAACAAATAAACAAAAACTAGGAGCCTTTGAAAAGTAAACTAAAGCTAAGACTACGGCAGCTCTGTGATGTATTTTAACCAGCAACTCAGACATGATAAAAACCACACAAGGCAGGGTAGGTTATGAACAAGTGATCAGCCTTGGACTAGTCTCTTGTTCTGGGCCAGTGGCCAAATAAAGTGAAGATCAATATGTAAAGTAGGGCCACTCCCATCTACTCTCAGTGTTTCATCATCTGGGACAAATGCTCGAAATGCTGAAAGGACCCAAATTGGTCATGAATATGTGACTGGCCAAATGTGTAAAGATGGCAAATGAATCAATTAAAAGAGTTTCCTGAGTACCTACTATGTGCTCAGCATTGTGTGAGACACTGTAAATACTTTAAAATTCTCGTTGAACTGGCTGCTGCCTCATGGTTTAAAATATCATTTTGAAAAACACAAATTTAATGGGAAAAAACACCCCAAACATCAACAACAACAACAAAAATGGGCCGGCCCCGTGGCTTAGTGGTTAAGTGAGCGCGCTCCACTGCTGGCGACCCGGGTTCGGATCCCGGGCTCGCACCGACGCACTGCTTCTCTGGCCATGCTGAGGCCGCGTCCCGCATGCAGCGGCTGGAAGGATGTGCAGCTATGACACGCAACTGTCTACTGGGGCTTTGGGGGGGAAAAAATAAATAAAAATAAAAATAAAATCTTAAAAAAAAAAAAACAACAAAAATGGATTCTTCTCCAACCTAATCATTCCCCTACCCCCCTAGATCAAGTTGAACTATTTTCTAGGGCAGCATGAACTCTTCCAATAGGGTTCAGGTTAGATTATTGCTATGCAGAAGGTGAAAGGATACGTTCCAGCTTGAGTCTTCAGATAGAGGCGGAAATGGTGCTCATCCACATAGCTCGTCTCCATGGAGTGAATGATGCGAGTTCTCACAGCCAGGGGTCTCCGGTGAAGGACTCGTAGAGGTGTTTTCTGGTCGATCTTTAAGTCCTAGAGGAGGATATGATATAGAACCATGGAGTCAGCTTTACTGCCCAGTGAAGCCTATCTATCTTAACACCTCCTTTGTCAACAATGGCTCACCACAGATGTTTTCTTTAGAGGACCCCGTCTATCCGTGTCAGGGTAGAAACTAACTAAAACTATAATAAATTGTATCACCTAAGGTTCAAACTCTGTGAGACTTCTCATAACCTAGTCCATGATTACTCATTTTCTGGGCCCCAGTATGCCATAAAAAAAGGCTTTGAAGTAAATGATCCCCAAGCTCTCTTTTGCTCTAATATTTAACAAACTGATTAGGACTCTGGCGTTCTATCCTGCCCTTTACTTTACCGGAGTTCTTCTAGAAGACATGTTCTTACCTTTTTTTTCCTAACCCAAGAGAGTGACCCAACAGTGGGGATTTCTGGCTGAGATGAGAAATGACTCTTTGTAGAAGGCAGGACATCAGCATCACTTATGTGTATGGATAGTGTGCATGTTTCAGGGACAAACATACACTTATTTACAGGGTTATTTATTTGGTTATACGAAAGGATATATCTGGAAAATTAACAGTTATATCAATGTTTAGGGTAGTGTTTCAATATAATAATTACAAATAAGTTTGTACAATAAACCAGGCCCTCTCAATATTTGTTAGCCCAGTTCAAGTTACTTGACAATAATAATACTGCATGACTTTTTACAGTTCAGATTTTTTAGGGACACAGGCTTGTTTTTCGCACAATTAGAGATTTCCTTTTATGTCACAAGATGTAAAATAAGAAATAGAGGTTAATATTGTAGAAGGCCAACTAATTCCAACTTTTAAAAATAGATATTGGGCATAACCAGAAATGTAGGTTCCTAAGAACTCTGAATCCTCTGCAACTTCTTGTTGGAACAACTCCTTCCTAATTTACATGATTAGTGAGCGCCCGAAGCCATGCTAAGGAGAGGTTTCTGTCTGGGCTTCCCTCTATCAAGTTCTCCACTAACAAAGAAAGAGCAAGTTCTGACAAAGACTACAGTTGAAATGGTGTGACTGCTTTTATCAGAGCAGTGAGTCAATGGTCCTTCCTAAATCATAGGTTTTATGATTCTGTCATTGATTTTAGAAGCACTTTGTTCTGATGAGATAAGCTGTCTCCACAAGGTTGACATTTCTCTGGCCAAAAAGACCATAAAAAGGATAAGGCTGAACTATTAAGGAATCTGTAAAGATATGGCCTCCACTATAGAGTACAGAAACAGGTGGCCCTTAAATGAGTGACTGAGGAGTGCTCTTCTCCTGTTTCCTTTACCTCCAGTCACTCCCAGGACTCTGACCCATGAGCTAGTCAATGGAAGCACCAACTGAGCTACTAGCCCCACCACTGCTTCCAACATAACACTTGGATCACTCATGTGTCTTTTTTGGCCTCCTTGTTCTTAGCAGACAAAAGGAAACCACTTCATTTACTCTCACGTTGCCCTCTGCCATTCCCATACTGCTGAATTTTCAGAAACACATCTAAACACACACAAATGATTTTTTTCCCTTAGAAGTAGGTTGCCCTTAAAAAAGAGGAGACAAGTAGTAAATCTGAAGTGACTTTTTCTCATAATAGGGCAGTAACTCAGTTTTTATATTTTTTATGCCAACAGGAATATTTGAAAACTGTTTTAACCCTAACACTTAAAAAAATTATTAGAGGTCACCTAGCCTCATGAGTCCACTTGGACTGTGGACAATTAAAATAGACTCTTTCAATACTCAGTCTGTACCTATAAAAATCATCTTTCAGCATTATTTCTGAATTAGCTCTATGGCTCCCCCCAAACTGTGAATCTATTCTTTAAATGAGTTTATTTTCCCCACAGCATTCTGAATGACTTGTACACATGTGAAGGAATAGAGCTTTAGAAATTTGTTTTGCAATCAAAAAGATATCTATCTATAGTATAGATAATGGAGTCAAAGCCAAAGGGCCTTAGATATAGAATCACAGAACCTGAGAACTGGAGGGCCCACTGGGAATGATCTAGTCCATCCCCTCATTTTATAGATGACCTTCTCTAAGCAGGTGAATGACTTGTATGTTTTCACTAAAACACTCATACTATAAACATTATTCTGCACTTCACTTTTTTTCTCATAATGTCATGGGTGTTCCTACAAGTCATAGATGTAGACCTAACTCTATCTTTTTTTCCAACATTTTTAGGCATATTTACATACAATAACATAAATGGGATCACATGCTGTTTTAGTTTTTTTAACAGCTATGTAATATTCCAACTTATTCTACCATTTCCTTATTGAAGGATATTCACTTTTTTTCCAGTTTTGTTGTTGTCGTTGACTTTGCCACTTTGAACAAAGTCAATAAACATCCTTGTGCACAAATTCTTATGCACTGGAGTTTTATTTCTACAGGACAGATTGCCAGCAGCGGAAGTGCTAGGTAGAAGACCAGTGTATTTTTAATTTTAGTCATTGCCACACTGTTTTCCAAAAAGGCTGAAACATTTTACAGTTCTATTGACAATGTATGCAACTAGCCTACGCCTCCACTCTAACCAACAGGTGTTATTAGTTTGAGGGGAATAAAGTGATGTCTCATTGTTACTTCAATCTGGAGGTGGAACATCTTTTCAAATGATTCTTGGCCATTTGGAGTTGCTCTTTTTTCAGCTGCCTGTTCATATCCTTTGTCCATTTTTCTCTACTGGGTGTTTGTATTTTTCATAAGTATAAATCCTATTTATGGTATTTTTTACCATACAATTTGTTTTCTACATAGTCATATGTATGTGTGTGTATGTTTAAATCACAATGTAACAATCCTCTATATACTCTTAGAACTTGTTTTTTTCCCATTAGCATTTATCAGGAACATTTTCCTTTGTCAATAAATATTCATCTACCACATAATTTCTAACAGCTGGCTAGTAATAGTCCATCACACAAATAAACCATAAGATTAAACCAGGCCCCTCTAGTAGGTCATCTAGATTATTACAAAATATTGCCCATTTAAACAATGTTGTGATAACTATATATATCTTCGTGCCCATTTATGCTCATTCTTTGCATTTGAAAGTAAATTATCTTTACAGGAAGAGGTGGGGGCAGGTGGGAAGAAATATGCAAATGAACAGGCAGATCCTCTACAGTGACATGCTCACGTGAAGGAAAACCTAGCATATGCCAAAATATTTGTGCTCTACATATATTATCCTGTTTTGTTTATTTATAATATATTTTATTTATGTACTTAATCTGAGCATCAATTCTATTAGATAAATTCTATTTTATATTTCCTTTTTACAGATGGCCAAATATAATAATAGCATTGCTGAGTATTTTCTATGTGCCAGATACTGTTCTAAGTGCTTCATGTGACTAAACTCATTTAATTCTTCTAACAAACTTTAGAAATGAAGAAATTAAAGCATAAAGAGGCTAACAAATTTGTCCACAGTCACACAACTAAGAAATGCAGATCCAGGATTTGCACCCAGGCAATCTGTCCTTAGAGTCAGGTTCTTAGTAACTAGCAACACTGCCTCTCAGATGGGTTAGAGGAATTGCCCAATCATTCAACTAGTACATGGTAAAGCTGGAATTTGAAACCAGGTCTCACAGGCCCCAAAGCTCATGCTCTATGATTTGCAGGTAATAAACTAGAAGACAAAGGACTCTTTTACAGGCAGTAGGAAAATAAAATAAAAAGAATTAGAGCACTTAACTACCTTTATGTCATTTAGGAATTCAACGTCTTTCTTCTGTATTGCTTCATTTGTCCATATTAAGGCACTATAGGTCTTGGTCTTTTCTTCTTCACCTTCTTTCATGTGTCCTATTGCCTCTCTAAACAAAAGTAATAAAAGAAAGTTTGTCTGAATATATGAAACACAAGCCTTGCCCCAAAATTCCCTTTCTTTAAAAACAGCTTTATTAAGGTATAATTTACATACAATTCCCGTTTTTTTAACTGTACAATTCAGTGATTTTTAATATGTTTATGTAGAGTTGTGCAGCTATCACAATTTAATTTTAGAATACTTTCATCACCCCCCCAAAAAAAAACTCCATACCTATTCTCAGTCACTTCCCATTCGCTATTTCCCCCAGCCCTTGGCAACCACTAATCGACTTTCTGTCTCTATAGATTTCCCTACTCCGAACATTTCACATAAAATGGAATCATACAATATCTGGTGTTTGGTGTCTGGCTTCTTTCACTTCATAATGTTTCAAGGTTCATCCATGTTGCAGCATGTATCAGTACTTCATTCCTTTTTATTACTGAGTAACATTCTATTGTATGGGTATACTACATTTTGTTTATCCGTGGACATTTGAGTTGTTTCTACTTTTTTGCTATTATGAATAATGCTATTATGAACATGCATGTAGAAGTCTTTGTATGGATGTACATTTTCATTTCTCTTGGGCGTATATCTAGAGGTGGAACTCCTGAGTGATACAGTGACTCTATGTTTAACCTTTTGAGAACCTGCCAAATTGTTTTCCAAAGTGGCTGCACTTATAATCCCAGCAGCAACGTATGAGGGTACTAATTTCTCCACATCCTGGCCAACACTTGTTATTTTCCATCTTTTTAATTATAGCCATTCTAGTGAGTGTGAAGTGGGATCTCATTGTGGTTTTGATTTGCATTTCCCTAATGACTAATGATTTGAGCATTTTTTCATGTATTTATTGGTTATTCATATATCCTCAGAGAAATGTCCATTTAATCATTTCTTCATTTTTTTTTCATTTCCCCATTTTTAATTGGGTTGTTTTCTTATTATTGAGTTGTAAGAGTTCTTTATATATTCTGGATACAATTCCCTTATCAGATATATGATCTACAACCAAAAGTTCCCTTTTCAAATCATCTCCAGTGAGTCTACCCTTACCTTGTGACAAGCTGCAAGTCACGGACTTGGATTTTGTTAGATGAGTTATTAATTTTCTGTAGTAGTAGAAAAAGAAAAACAATTAGCAACTCTAGTTCAGCTACAGAGTTGCAGAAACGTGACGATTTCCATGTCATGAAGTGGTTTACCTGCTGAAGTTCCTTAATTTCTTGTGAAGTGAAATGTACTCTATGAGGATTCACCAGCTCAATTGCAAAGGGCCTTCCTGGCAGCACACACCCCGTCATGAAACAGAAACGTGTTGATGGAGTTAACATTTGGGCTAATGCAAGAGGGTTAGGAGGTGTGAAAAAACGAGTTGAGCTCTAGAGGACTGAAAGTTTAGTGACATGACTACATCTGGGGGAGGGAATGTGTGAAAACAATCAAGGGGCTTTTGGGGGGCTGCTACACCCCAGTATAGGCAATATGTGAAAATGACTGCTTTCCCAAGGTACATGAACAAGCCTGTGTTAATTACAAAATAAAATCCAAACAACTGGTAATTGATCTGGTTACACTAACGTAACATCACATGCAACAATGCCCAGGTATACCAAGTTGCAATCCATCCTCCTAGCCTAATCCATTAGTGAAACGGAAAAACTGTGATTCCATGAGAGGAAGGGACTATAAATCTCAAATAGCTCAGGATTAACTCTCATCATCTTTCTTGTAATGCAACAATGTAAAATGAGAGAAATAAAGGCTAAGCAAGCAGAATCACTTTTTAAATGAAGATGTGCATTTTGAAAACTGTACTGGTAGTACTACTGGAATGTCATTAAGTGGAACAATTAATAATCAACCTTTCGGACAAAATAAGGCACTTCCTTGTTAATGCACATAAAAGTCCCTTATAACCTACAGGTATGCAATAAAGATGGCCTCTGAAGAAATGATTCCTGTTAAAACACAATCGTATAATTTATAAAGGTAGCTCCATAATCCACAAAGCTTCCTCACTTGGAGAAGCTCTGAGATCTTCTGCCCACTTTAGTTTTGACTAAGTGACTACAGTAAACCTGCTGTCTGAAAAGGGCGATAATCTGAAAGTTAGTTCTAGTCAAGTGAGCTGTTTCAATCTTACCATTTCCTAATGTTCTCACATCTACATCTTCTCTTCCAGAGGATGAAAAATTAAAACCTTTGGAAAGCAGATAAAGAAAAAAAATCAGAGACATAATAGCCCTAAGACTCTCATTCCCACCCTTTGGTAGAAACCCAATTTGTCTTGAACAATCTACAGGATAATCCCAAGAGATAGTCATCATTCCACCTCTAATCCCAATCTCTCTAAAAATAGCAATGATAATAAATACCATTTATTGAGCACTTATTATATGTCAGGTGCTGAACTAAAAATTTTGCATACATTATTTCATTTAATCCTTCTTATAACTTTATGAGGTAGATATTAAATAAAAGAACACCAAGTTTCTGAAAGGTTAAGTACTTTTTGTAAGGCCACACAATTAAATGGCAGAGGTAGGTGTTTCTGATATCAAAGCCAGACCTTAACTATCATCCCACACCTCCACCCCATGGGAAGGCCAAAGGCAGAGCACTGTTTGGAGGAAGGCCCCACCACCACCCTGACCACAAGCTTATGGTGAAAAATCTATCTTCTTTTTTCTTTTCCCTAAAACAAAACAAAGCAAAAACATTTATTTGAGAATTAAATTCTATGAAGGAAGAGAAGGGAAAAAAATTTTGACTCTAAAAGCAAATTCTTTGCATAAGCAAACCTAAGCTGGGACCACGACAAAACTAGTACATTCTAAGATAGATGGGTCATCACAGACTAAAAGCTGCAAATGTTGGAATGGGAAAATGGTTAAACAAAAAGGGGGGGGGCCGGCCCCGTGGCTTAGTGGTTGAGTGCGCGCGCTCCGCTGCTGGCGGCCCGAACCCGGGCCGCACTGACGCGCCGCTGCTCCGGCCATGCTGGGGCCGCTTCCCACATACAGTGGCTGGAGGGATGTGCAGCTATGACATGCAGCTATCTACTGGGGCTTTGGGGGAAAATAAATAAATAAATAATTAAAAGTGTATTATTATTAAAAAAATAAATAAAAATAAATAAAAAAGGGGGGGGATGGAGAGGGATTATATGACAACTTTCTTAGATACAGAACTGACCAATGATTGCACCATCATCACCAGCAAACATTACCATGAGCAGGCATTATTCTAAATGCTTCATCTATGTTAATACTATGAGGTAGGTACTATCATTGTCCCCATTTTATTTATAAGGAAGGTGGGACAGAGACAGGATAAGTAACTTGTTTAAGATCACATCATTGGTAACCGGTAGGGTCAGGATTTGAGCCAGGCAGTCTGGCTCCAGAGTCTCTTGACCACTGTCTATACTGCACCACCACAAAGACAGCCAGGAGAGCTCAGACTTGTGCCCCCAGGGACAAGCAAGACCGGTCTTCTTGGACCAGGGATGGGAAAGGCTGGGATGTTTTGGGAACCCTGGTCAGTCATTAGAGTGGTAAAGTTTAAGGTCTCTGAATGTAGAGGTTGAAGGCTAGAACTCAGGCTCAACCCTGATTTATTCATTCAGGAACAAATACGTACAGGGTGTATGTACAAGGCACTGTGCTAGATGCAAGGGAGCCAAAAGCAAACAAGATGGACATAGTCCTTATCCTCACAGAGCTTACTGTTTGTGGAGGAATATGGACTATAATATAGTGGGTAGGGCTAGGACAAAAAAAGTACAGGAACATTCCTGCACTAGGAGCACAACTGCAATATGAGCTATGAGGTTTGTACTTATTCTTCAATAGTCCAGCTACTTTGGAGAGCACAAGATGAGGAAGAACAAGATTGTGGGGAAGAACAGATGAGAAAGGTGGAAGGGAAGGAGGGAGTATACCATTTTGATCGCCATTTTTCTCCCAGGAAACATTCTATATGCAAAGGTCCCATGTAGATTTTAGAAAAAGGAAGGCCAAAAGGCTTGAAAAGTCCTATGAAAACTACACTAAAGATTAGCCCTCCTTTCTAGGATGTTTAGCCTTCTTTCACCTTTAAGAAATCCCTTTAGCAAGACAAGGCCAACACTTGTTGGAAAGATAGGCTCCAAGCTGTTGTCTGTCACACTCTGCCAGTGTGAGGTGGCCTCCTCTCTTCTCCACAGGCCCAAAGCTGTGGGTCTCACAGAAAGGAGCAACCCAGGGCTGGTTAGGTAAGGGCTAGATATCCAAGGTAGGCCTAGAATCAAGCTGTTAGTTAGGCTCAGAACTCTGGGTAACCTGTGCCGCGTTAACACCTGAGGACATGGCCAAGCCATGAGGGGCACAAGGTCAGACTCTTCTCCAGGTGGAGAATGTAGGCCAGGCAGAAAGTAGGATTCTGTGGACCATTAAGTCCCAAAGAATCCTCCATTCGATGTTTACACTCCATTGTTAAGTTGCTAATAAACCCACAAGCAACATCAGTAGCTTCCAGTCAGAGTCAATACTCAAGAGTAGTGCTAACTAGGGATGGATAGCTAAATGGAGAGTTCAAAATGGCATCTAGGAAGCTGAAAGATACTGACTCCTTGGGGCTGTGGTTTGCCTTTGCCCACCTCCATCTCCGAACCAGCCATAATGTCAGGGAACCGGGGGATACACAGTAACTGAGCCACAACCTGCAACTGATGGGGGAGGAGGGAAGGAACAGGACACAAAGAGATAGGTCTACTGGCAATTGCTAAATCAGACCAGAAATCTCAAATTCATAAATTAGCCCATAAAACTTCCCACAGTTCCAGCCTATCAACAACAAAGAGGTGCAGACAGTTAGTCTCCTTTTTTTTTTTTTTTTTTTTTTGAAAGCTAGGCTCTTGAGAAGTCCAGAGAAACATTAAAGCCAGACTGAGGGGAAAGGATATTTATTATATCTTTTAGAAAAAATGTCTCAAACTTGACCCTACATTGAGAAATACTTTTGGGAGCAAATTTCAAAACTTTATTCATGTGTAAACATGAATAATAGTTGACAAAAACAGAAAAGGAGCCACAGGCTTAAGTATTAGGAAATACGTGTTTAAAATTTAGTTGAGTTTTCTAAGCTCACATCATGCCTTACTTTATCCCCTTGATCCTGTGAGTTCTTTGAGCCTTCTACTCAAAGGAAAGGTGAACGATCAGGAACTATAAGCTAGTCTACAGTGGCCCTCATACCCAAGGGCAGACAGACAATGGGTCTGAAAGATGGGCAGAGGCAAGATGAGGAAGGCCTCAGAATATCCAGTTAAGTAGTTTGGACTTTATCCTGTAGCTAGTCATTGACGAGTTTTAGGGGAAAATTTCTTAGACACATCGATTTTGAGAGTGTATCAAAGTTTATTACTCATTAACTAGGGAATTAGCAAGTAGATAATATGACGCGCCAGTTTGAAGTGACTGAGAAACAAGTTTGTATCTCCCACGTAGGGGAAGGAAGCTTTACATAAGTAGCGAGGCTGCTTCATGCAATACTGATTTATTTTCATAGAGCGGTAAAATGTAGAGGTACAACAGTCAGAACCATCTTCCCAGAGTTGTCAGATGTGAACCATAGAAATAACAAGTAATATACCTGAGAAGCAGAGGATTAGTAAAATGATGTCATTAATCAGGCATTTTGAACAAGGTTTTACCCCCTGACAAGAAGCCAGTTAGCACAGAGGCCATAGGTCAGCTTTTTCTCAAGCACCTCTCAATAAATTTCCTTAGCACATCATTACAGATGCTAAACACACAGTTTGCTTTATTTTCAGTTTTGGGACAATTTTTTCCCCCTCAAATGGAAAATGACAACAAACAACCTTCAGAAAGATTTCAAGGGGGAAACATAACAGCTTTTTCAGAGCCCCCTGCAGCCCTATTGGTAATGGTGGCTTCCTTGGGACCCAAATAATCAGAACTGAAAGTTTCTTGATTCTTACAGAAAGGTAGTAAGGTGGTCCCAAAAAAGGGCTTAAAAGAGACTTTTTGTGCTAAAGCCTTTATTTTCACTTCTTCACAACTTGGATAAGTCTGAGGAGATAACCAGTGTGTAAATATTAAATTAAGTAGTTAAAAGCTCATGGCAATCGCCCAGAGTCTTTACTGCTAAGATTTTGGAAAATATTAGGTTGCTAGGTTACTTTCTTCTCCATTCAGTAACTAATTCTTAAAGACCCTTAAAAAAGGGCCCACCTACCTGATAGGCAACAAATTATAAGACGGATGTGGTCTGAAGTGCTTCTCTTTCCTCTTGACAAGCAGAGCTGGAAGGGACACCCATATTTCATCTCCATCATCTGCTTGTCATTCCTAATGTAGGCTAGTCTTAACGTTTTTCAGAGAGAAAGATGGATGCCTAGCTGGTCCCTCCAAAAAGGTGGTCTAATTATGCTAGGAGATCCATTCCAAAGAGCGATATGCGTACTCACTGCCTATAGTTTTTCCTGAGGTACAAGGTGATTTCCTACGCTTGAAATCTTAGTCCCTTTCCCCTAGTCTAATCCTAGGTGAAATCATAGGCTTTATGCTGACTTTGACTTGACAGGCCTATTGAGACAAAGAAAACATAAACCCGACAGGATCTGACCCATCCCACAAACCTGGGCTCATTAATACCCAGGAAATTAAAATACAACACAACTGCCATTAAGTCTTTGTAAAATGGTAGCTGTTGATCTATTTTATCTAGGCCTGAACTTTATCCCAGGACATTTGAGCAGTTAAGACAGAAGCCAGGCATCTGCCAGTGATTATTCTTGAACAAGCACTGGACATGCAAGTTGTGTTTTAATTTATTCATAGTCCCAAAAAGAGGCTGAGATGTCCCAAGGTCAGAGCTTAAGTGCACTCATTTAAAGTAGTTTCAATTGTTTTGAATTTGCCCAGGAAAGAGCAGTCATCTTGAGAGAGGAAAGAAATCCTTGGGCACCTTGGCTCAAATCCAGCCCAGGTCAGAGCAGCTCAGGACATGGCAATCCCTGTTCATGGGAAGCTGCCAGGTAAGGGGCCCAGACTTGGTGGTGATTTACAAAATATAAAAATCTTTCCTATCACCTCCAATAAATCCATTCATGAATGACAATGCAGTTAAAATATGAATATTACAACACTTACTCTCTGCTTTGAATACTGTTAAAAGATGATCTGAAATTAATTCTTCCACTGAAGATTCCAGCTTCCTTTCTCCATCAATTATCCAAGGAGTTTGTGGGAGATTCCTGGAGTATTTATTATATCTCCCTGCCAAAGAAATATAATGTAGCTTGGATGGAATGGTGTGATTTTAACACAATAGGATAAAAAGAAAAGCAACAACTATTTTTTTTTATTGATGTCATAATAGTTTATAACTGTGAACTTTTAGTTGTACATTACTGTTTGTCAGTCACCATATAAATGTGTCCCCTCACGCCTTGTGCCCACCCCCCAACCCCCTTTCCCCTGGTAACCACCAAACTGTTCTCTCTATCCACGTGTTGGTTTATCTTCCACATATGAGTGAAATCATGCGGTGTTTGTCTTTCTCTGTCTGGCTTATTTCGCTTAACATAATACCCTCCAGGTCCATCCATGTTGCAATAACTATTTTTTGAGTGCCAACATCCTAAGTGCTATGACATAAAACAAGGCTCAGACTTCAACTAACTTACAATCTAATTGGGGGAGCCAGCACATAGACATAGATAATTAAATGAAAAGATTTAAGGTAACAATAGATGAGATGGCTAAAGACATGATATGAATCATCAAATGAGCTCTAAAGAAATGCTCGATATATTTATTAATCTGGTTGGCTGACTGAACAAGTTAAATATTACGGAACATACCAAGGATCAGTTTTTTAAAAACAGCAACCATTGCTTTTACGCCTGATTGATAGTACTTTCGATGTAATAGTCATTGGTGATAATATATTCCAAAGAGTTCAAATGCAGGAAATTTTGAAGTTTTTGTAATTAAAAAAAAAAAAAAACCCTAACAGAATATGACTCATTGCTTTATGAATAAAGCAACACTAAGGCAGGTAGCTTTCATTACCCCAGGGCAGGGTATTATAGTCAAGACTAAAGAACAATTTCATGTCAGCTATTAGTATGAAACAGCTATAGCTTTCAAAACAAAAACTGTCTGCTAGCTTACCTCTTAGGAAAGTCAATGCAACAATATTGTTTTTTTAAGGCAGAAGCCAAGTGTTTAGTCATTTTACAGACAATAAAATTATTTTTTCAAATTTGCTTTCATGTTATAAAACATCCTCTCCACAGCTATTTCTCCTGACCAGTTTCGAGTCTCTACATCTATCCATATTTCCACTTGGCCATCTCTGATGAAAACTATTAAACCCTAGGAAGCGTCATTTCCCTAGGGCGTGACCTCAGTGATTCTTAAGAATGCCTATAGAACCTAAAATAAGCTTGGCTGTCAGTTCTAGTTCTCCAAAGAGTTAACTAATCAGAACCTAATAACAATAAGAAGGAAACAGAGGGGGAGTCAGTTGAGTTTTTCAGAAAGGAGAGTAAGCTGACAGTGTAAGTGTATTCTAGACTAAAGATTTTACCAGCCACAAAAACAGCACCATGAGCACACTCAATTTCAAGAACAGTGCATACAGCCTTTGGTGAGTTTGGAGGACAAGGAAACTGCCTGTAAAACAAAATAAGTGTTACAGCTACTATTTTCCAGACATGATATTGAACCATATAACTACCATGCATCAGCATTGTCTGAGACACATACAGCCTGAGTCTCTTAAAGACGAAGCCTCTCCCTAACTTTAAGTTTCGGGGCCTTAAGGGTCTTTTAGGCCTCTGTACCACTTGTAATACATAAGAGTGGCATTAAGTAAATCAGGGCTCTGCTACTCCTTTCACTCTCAGGAAGCCTCATGTTCCCAGATGATAATTTCCACCAGCCTTGAAATTTGGGAGAAAAATCCATACATAGGGAGTAGAAGCCTCTCCAAGTTCTTTAGCCATTTTGCTATTCATGAACACTTGCTGCTGGCTTACCAAATCCTCAATCGTTTGGGTAAAGCTGATGTGCAGTGAGAGACTGGTCACGTGAGTAAGTCTCACCTGTGGGAAGGGTACTCCACCATTTTTCTCTTTTTTTCCTTCTCATTCCAACTGTGACCTTGGGAATCAGACTACAGAGCCAGAAAAAGTAGAATGTGGCAGGCTCTGCCCTTTTAACTAAAAAACTTCAATCCAAATGGGGACAGACAGGGAAGAGCGATGTATGGCTTTATTCTCTGTCCACTATGTGGGAACTTCCAAAACCATGGACTGGAGTCTACCTATAAATGACTAGATGTGGACTTAATCTCAAAATCATGGCTTGAAAATTTCATATAGTTTCCCAAGATGTCTTAACAAGGAAATCACTTAGAAACTCAGGAACTATTGCTTGTAGAAGAGTAACTGTTTTTACTTTCTAAAATTTAATAAAAATTTTTCCATTCTGAGACTTGATTTTAGTCAGTAAAACATAGGAAACCTTCCTCATAACTTCATTGTTTGAAATTTATTCAAGGATATTCTAAAGGATAACTATGATAACATTTTATTAAATAAAATGAACACACTGAGAATTAAAATATAAGGTTCATTGTAATTCAGCATATTTTAACAAGTGAGGAAACTCATGAGCCTTTTTTTCCCTCTTCTGGAGATGAACAATACTAGGAAATGCAGGATTAGGGATGTAATGGGACTAGCACTGGGCTGGAGAGTCAGGAAACCTGGCTCTAAATTCTTTTACCCAGTTGATAATCTTAGGCAAGTCAACTTCCTCTTGGGACCTCAATATCCTCTTCTAAAAGATAAAGAAGTTGGACTTGATTCATAAAATCAAATATTAATTTGACAAACATTTATTGAAAACCACTACATGCCAGGTACCTAGCCATAGATTGGGGATATAACAATGACTAAGACATAATCCTGGTCCCTGAAATATATCCAGTCTTGTTTTAGAGATAATCCAGATTATCTCTAACATTCCCTTTACTCTAAAATTCCATGATGCCTCCTTGTTTGTATACTTCTACTTACTTGCGGAAATCCTCTTCTTTTATCTTATTCAAAGCTTTCATAACTGCCATTCTAGTGAATACTGACTATATAGGGTAAAATGAAAAGAAAAGACATTTTATCACCTAGACAAGAAAACATCAGAGGTGAAACACAGAACAGTTAGAGAAATTATATCCTTTTAAACCACACTTAAAAAGGAGAAATACTTAGTAGCTTCAAGAAAATAAGTAAAACATAACCCGCCCCCCCGTCAGTTCTGCAATCCGTATACCCCTAGAACACTTCCCTTCAATCAAGTCTATGTCTATAATACCAGGTGGATCTAGCAGAACATGTCTTCTTCACTGCATTGTCCCACTCCTCTCAAAATGTGGTATTCTTCAAATACAAAAATGATCACATTGCAGGAAATGTGCTGTGAATATTTTTTCCCAGACCACAAAAGGAGTTTAGATTGACCCATGTACCTTTTCTTCCCTACATCCCTTCAGAGGCCACAGTATATAATTTAGGAGTTGGCAGCCAGGGTAAAAGGTAAAAGCAGAGCCAACCCGCCCTGGCATCTAGCAATGTAATATCACTCACCAGCCACAGACAAAGTAAACAAATCCACTATACCGAATAGAAGAGCATCTACAAAAAACACTCTGGGTTTTTTTTAAAGAAGAAAAGCCAAACCACATGGTAGACATACTAGAACTGATTAGTGCATAGATACATGGCTTACTATGATAAATCAAAATTATTTCTTCTGTTATGAGAAATTACACTTGTCTGAAAAGAGCCACAATGTAAGTATCTCAACAGTTTATCATCAAAGCAATGATTTTCTAAACCATATTCTGGGGAACTCCAAGATGTCATAGGGTTGGAACTGAAAATTAAGTGCCTATTTGTTGAAATCTATATGAAATCTTAGGCCTGAATCTCAAAAGGTCATTCAATTTACTCCCAGCCATGAGGCAGGAAAACATACATTTAAGACTATACAACACTTACTGGCCAAATGGTGTGGTGTCTATGATGCTTTGACAAAAATTTCCTTATTCTATTATTTGATGCTAGTACTTGTGTATTTCCTCAAAGACAACAAAAAATAAAACAAGATTTTCAATATAAATATGGCTTACAGGTCATTTGGGCAGAGCTTCCCAACTGGTATGGCAGAGCAGTGAGCTACAGTTGTGCCAAGATGTCGATCCCTTTAGTTCACAGAGGCTGAGGGGCAGGGCCTGGGACAGTGGGACTCCCCAGGCCTATTGCCTCCAACTGAGAGCAACTTCATCTGTTAACCTCAGGGTGCGGAACCAACATGGTAATGTTTTAGGTGTACTATGATGTGAGAAAAGGAGGGAAGCACTGCTTTAGGCTTGGTCTGCATTTCTAATTATTTCTACACAGGGCATACAGCAAATGTTACAAACTTTACCCTCCAGTTCTAAAAGGCCCAGCAATTAGTCAAAGCAAGAGGAAAGACCAACAGATGTATTTTAACAACCACAACAGCGAAATGGATGTCAGTAAAACTGGGAATGCCTGAGTCTCTGCACAAAACCAGCTAAGTGACTGGAGTGTGAAAGCTGGCCAATATCATTGTACCCTGGCATAAAGGAAACTGAAAGTACTTACTAACTAATGTGCTCATTAATCATTAACATGAAGACCAGCTCACATGAGATAGGAAAGAGGAGTTTTAATAAAATGAATAAAATAAAATGTAGCCCGAAATAGGCTCTATTAATTCAGGACGGTCCTCAATAAAATAATTTGCTTTGGATTATATTTTTAAAACACCAATTTCTAGGAAATGGATATTAGACAAAAGTTTGGAATGCTGCTGATACTTACCACGAATTTTCCCAGATGATGTAATTTTGGGGATTAAAATCTAAAAGTCGAATTTCCCCAAATGGGTAACAGAAACATCACTGAAACACTGGTTCAAACTTTAACAACATCAGGGGAACAATACAGACAGTGACACAAACATGAGAATGTTTGTGTTACGACTTCCTAGCCAGATGCAAAGATGTTGAGAGTTGAAAAAAATAAACATAAATGTAGCAAATGGAAATATTTAAAGACTGATTCTTAGTATAATAGAGTGCCACATTTCTTTTTTTTGTGAAGAGATTGGTCCTGTGCTAACATCTGCCAATCCTCCTTTCTTTTTTTGCTGAGGAAGACTGGCCCTGGGCTAACATCCCTGCCCATCTTCCTCCACTTTATATGGGACGCCGCTACAGCATGGCTTGCCAAGCGGTGCATTGGTGCGCGCCCGGGATCTGAACCAGCAAACCCCGGGCCGCCTCAGCAGAGTGCGTGCACTTAACCACTTGCACCAGCAGGCCGGCCCCTAGAGTGCCACATTTCTAATGCACATCCTTTTTGTTGTTAATTTGAATATTCAGCTCAGATAAAACTCACTAAAGAATAAGAAGCAGGAATACTTACCTGTTTGTTTTTGGCTGGTTTGAAACAATCTGGGCATATCGCACGTCTAAGTAAAATTCAAGTTAATATAAAAGGTTAATGAGTTTATTTTGGGGTGGATATAATTCAAATATATTTTATAGAACATGGCTGCTAAATTCAGGACATCAGAAGCAGACAAAATGAATCTCTATACGAGCTGGTTTGCCTAGACCCTTATATTACAGAGCATAATTTTAAACCTACTAAGAAGATATGACAAGTTCTGATATGTTCGTTAGAAAAAGGAGCAATACTATATTCATGAAAACCAAAAAGCATTAACAATGTTACACAATTGGCATTGTTGTTTACGTGGCAACTTACAGGAAGTGGCAATCCTCAACTGTTTCTGGGTGAGCAAAGACCACACTCACTTCAAACAAGCTCTAAAAATTATAAAGACAGTTTACAAATGAGCAAAAGGAAACTAACAGCTAACAACTTATGAATGGAAATAGAAATTAACTCTCAAAGATTGGCTCAGAAAAAGTGTGACAAGGAAAACTGGAAATACTACTGTTTTTAAATCAGCTTGTTCACAGAGCAGCTGTAAAGGAAATAGTCTTTTTTTTTTTTTTTTAAACTTCTAAAGCTCAATCACTAGTAATCCTACCAAAAAAACAAGTTTAAAACAAATTTGAATTATTTTTGTCCATGTATATAAGTTAGGTGTGAAGATGAAGAGAATTCAGGGAATTGGAAAGAGATAACTGAAAGAAACGAAGAATTGTTCCTCTCAATACTGTGACTAGAATTATTAGCAAGGCAAAAAAGCATTTTATCCACATGCTTTAAGCCTCTGTATGAGGCTTTTTTTAAAGTGCTCAAACTTCTTAATGGATTTGAGTTTTAAAAGAGAGATCTTAATTTTTTGTTTTATTACAAAAGCGATACATACAAATTGTAAAATAATCAAACACAGGATAGGTTTTCAATCCCACTTCACCGAGGGAGAACTATTAACAGTTTGGCGTGTTTCCTTCCAGCCATTTTTATGAATATAAACATAAATGTATATACTTCTTGGGATATTAAACATACTTTTAGAAAATGCATTATTCAATTAATCTTACGTCACGGACATCTTTTCAACTGTACGGACTGTTGGACATTTAAGTTGTGGTAACTTTTTCTGTTATTAAAAAATGCTACAATGAACATCCTTGTACACAAATAAAGCACAATTTCATACTCTATATATATGTACCTCCACAGAGAATATACAAAATTTCATTGAGAAAAAGATATAAATGTCATACATGTAACAATCTTATCTTTTTTATTGAGTTCTATATTTACTGATTGCATTGTATCGTCAGCAAGCCTATTAGTTATTCTAGAATCACAATGGTGAATAGCTTTTTTTTTGCTCTCTATTTTAATCTATAAATTAAAATTACAATTACAATACATTCCTTTTACTTAAGAAAACTTTACTCATCCTGAATCTATTAGAACATTACTGCATCTTTTGTTTTCTATTTTCTGTTCTCACTGATTCACCATGTAAAATTATTTGTGCTTCAAAACTGAAATTTGAGGTAAACATATTTTGCATCAATGACTTCTCTAATTTCCAAAGTACTTTCATTACCTCATTTCCTCTTCATACTATCTGTGAAGTGGTTTTATTCTCTATTCTCTCAGTATTCAATTTAAAGGACAGTTAGAGTTTATTCTTACTAACAGAGGGAAACAGAGCCATATAATTCAGAATGGTGAAAAAAAAATTAACTAGTTAGCTTTGAAAGATGGTTTTGTGATTTTACTTGAATAGAGGTATGTCTGATATTTAGGGAATTTCCTTCAAGCAAAATGATGAAGCAATGAGGCCACACTATTAAAATCTAAATTAAGATGAGCTGGAAATATGTCTTGTTTCCATATCTGGAAACCTGTTTAGCTCTTCCCTAAAATTCAATCCATTCCAGAGACTGAGGCAAGGTCTGCTCTGGAATAGGGGCCTGAAGTTAAAGGGACTTGAGATACCAAGAAGGAGGGATAGATTGAGCCCATGCTCACTGTAGTTGAATAAGTTCTGTCTGCATATTTGAAAACAAGATTAGCCACAGGTAACCAAAATTAAATAGTTTAGAATTGACTCTATACACTTGCTCATAGTCATTTATGTATTGCTTTGTATCAGTAAATCTGTCTCTCCAATTAAACTATAAATATATTAAAGGCATAGATTCATTTCTGACCTTTTAAGGTCAATTAGGGTACACTGCACCTGTGACACTCATAAGTGTCTTGGATCACAAAGAAGTGTTTAAAAAAGAAAGAAAGAAAAACTTTAACCTCAATTTAAGACTGTTAGAAATTAACATTTTAAAAGCTTAAAAATCCTTCATTGGATTATTTAAAGAGAAGATTCTTTTGGCTAACCAAATCTCTGCCATATAATGAAGTAAAACTAATAAAACCAGAGAACAAAATTAACAGTGCTGATGACCCAATACCTTTCCATCAATGGGAACACCCAGTTCCTCTGAAAACAGGGGGTGAGTTATCCATTTGTAGGCTTCTTTTAGCTGAACTATATCATTTCTTCCCAGCGACAGACTCTGCTTTCTGAATAACATAAAAATTAATTCACTGACATGAAAAACTTTACTTTTTCTACTAAAGGCAAGAATGTATGCAATTATTAAAAAAATATTTATTGAGTGCCTACTATGTCCCAGGCACTATTTTACACATTAGATAGAAAGCAGAGAACAAAGGAGACAAAAATTCCTCAGCTCATTGACCTATATTCTAGTAGAATCAAGAAACTGCTTTTTTAAATGGCATGTAAGACAGTTTTTAAAGCTTCAAAGACGAAAGTATACAAATGAGTTTTTCTGAGCTAGAATTGCCAGATTTCAGGATTATACATCAGAACACAGAAATGTGGAATAGAGAGGATTGTTTATTGCTCAGAAACTACAAAACTGTTTACTAAGATTTCATTCAGACTACAAATGTTTGCATCTATCTCTTCCTGATAATGGGGGCTTACTTTTGAGAAATCAATATAAAAGCTGTACTTTACTGCTGAAGAAGCATTAAATCCTAAAGTATCAATGTTCTGAAATGCTTGTCAATTTAATGTCAGATAATGTCTGAATAAAAACCTGACATTCCCCCAAAATCTACTCATGAGCCAATAAATAAGTTTGGGGAAGTCCCAATTATGATTTCTAGCTTTTAGTTTGTAACCTAAAATTGTGATAGAAAGGAACTGAGGTAAAAAGAAAGAAAAACATGGTATGGTATTATTAAAACTGCTCTACTCTGCTGAGAACACTGCAATACCACTAATAAACTAACAAGCTCACATCATTCAAATAATTAAAACTTCAAATCAGTCTTATGGCTATTTAGAGGGCTACAATCAACATAGATGTTAACATAAGAGTTAGGGCTAACTTCTTTTTTTTTTTTTTTTTAAAGATTTTATTTATTTATTTTTTCCCCCCAAAGCCCCAGTAGATAGTTGTATGTCATAGCTGCACATCCTTCTAGTTGCTGTATGTGGGACTTGGCCTCAGGATGGACGGAGAAGTGGTGCCTCGGTGCGCGCCCGGGATCCGAACCCAGGTCACCAGCATCGGAGTGCGCGCACTTAACCACCAAGCCACGGGGCCGGCCCATGGGCTAACTTCTGAATCATTTCTTTTTTTTTTTTTAATCTTTTTTTTTTAATGTGAAATTTTTGTTGTACATTATTGTTTATCAGTCACCATATAAGTGCATCCCTCCACCCCTTGTGCCCACCCTCCACCCGCTAGCCCCTGGTAACCACCAAACAGTTCTATCTGTCCGTATGTTGGTTTATCTTCCACATATGAGTGAAATCATGCACTGTTTGTCTTTCTCTTTCTGGCTTATTTCACTTAACATAGTACCCTCCAGGTCCATCCATGTTGTTGCAAATGGGACAATTTTGTCTTTTTTTATGGCTGAGTAGTACTGAATCATTTCTTTTAATGTCCAATTTTCACTAATAGAAAAGACTACATATAGTCAATATCCACTGTAACTTGATTCTTCAAGACCAAGACACTACTAACTTCAGATAAAACCAAAAAATAATTTAGCTAATGGCTAAATTTAATTGATCTAAAGAAAAAAAAGAATATAAAGACCACTGTTCCTCTAAAAATGCAAATTAAGGAATAGATGATCTACCCATTCTGTATCCAGCTGAGAATATAACTGGTTACACAGAATGTTTTCATATGCTTTGGGATTGTGGTTTAACAATGAAATACTCAGATAAACCCTCCATCTGACAAATAATCAAATTACTTCTGTACATTTAAGAACTTATTCAAACACTAAGCAGGCTTTGTAAACTGTTCCTAATTCTCTCAATATCAGAAATATTTTAGATATTTTAAAAGACTATCTTGAAATTGTATCAACAGTTAACAATGACATTTGCATAAAAGAGCATCACAGTTGAAAAGTAAACAAGTAAAGTATGAGCACACATTTTAAAGGATAAAAAGTTGAAACAGAAAACACTTGAATGGAAAACTATTCAAAAATTGTTTAGATTCTAGAAAGTACAAAGGGTTACAGCAAAAGCCAATCCTACAAATGGATTAAAACATTACTCATTATGTATTTAAGAAAACTGGTATTTTAAATCCTTCATAGTCTTTGAAATATATCTAGAGCATCTTAGTCCAGTTTAAAAACTCCAACTACAGGTGTTTTTTCCTTCCAGATTAAAGAGCTAGAGGAAAGGGTTAACGGACATCTTGGAAATCCTAACCTTATATAAGGCAAAAATACAACATTTAAAATGCCAGATTTTCAATCCTGCAAGTTGAATGTGGCTAATAACTTTTCTAATACAATTTAAGGTAAATGTTTTCACAGAGGTCTTTAGCAAATACCTGATGGTCCTTTAGAGGAATCAGTAGTCATTAAGGTAAATTTAGTCCCGACTTAGTACTTAGCAACTGCATTTTCCTCTCTCCTCTGTCAGATAACTACTGATGAGGATGCCAATTGCAATCTCTTTTGCTATAGAAACAACATGACAACCATTCTAGAGCAAAGATGAACCAAAATATCCAACACATTTTTTCCTAAATTCCTTGAATCAATTCTTTAATGGCAGTTCCTCCACAATCTTTTGAACATAGAATGAACTAGGGACACTGAGGGAAAAGATTAGTGTTCTATATTTTTTCTATTCCAGTATCCCTATGTTGATCAGGATCTTTTGGAAGAACTAAGCTTAGTTTAAAATCCTTCAATAAGGAATAACGACAGCAATGCACAAACAAGGTGGATGGAAGCTGGAAACATTTAAAAAATAGCATGCTCTGTCTACACTAACAAATTTCTCAAACATAAGATCAAATTTTATTATGCCCAAATCACAAGCTTTTGAGACTAATTTAACATAACCTAACTAAACCCCAAAACCTTTGATAAATATGTGGTTATTACCCTTTTTAAAATACAGATGTGAAATACAACACACACAAAAAAGCCAATCTATTACTTTTTCTGTAAATTACCAAGTGTGAGATTCCAAAACAGAAATCTATACTTCTCTCTGTGCTTTTCTCTCCAGAGTACACGGGAACCCTCAGCAGTCACATGGCCCTTCTTATATTGGTATAAAACTTTTAGTCTCAAAATCCAAAAAGCTCTGGAAAATTAAAGATTTTTTTCTTAACTCAGTTGGCAATCAAACCATGACTTGAACACCTGAGGCTATTTAGTTTGATAGACTTTGTTTATCAAACTTAGTGTGAATATTCCTATGTTTCACTGCAGAAATATTAATGTGTTTGATTATATAGTACCACCCAGACTCTGGTGGGGAAGGGTAAGAAATTCTAAATTCCAAAACACATTTGGTTCCTAAGGGTTTCAGATGAAGGACCACGGACCTATGTTTTCTATGTCTTATCCATGTATAAACTCACTGTTGTTCTGCCTTAACTGGGATTTTACTTTGTATCTTTTATAGCATACTTTTATAATTTAGTTTCTAAGACTAGCATAAAATTCATTCTTTTAAAATAACTTGCCAAACTATATTATATAAGTGCCTAATGCATATCAAACATGTATTTGCATTCACGTTAAATCTACAAAAAAAATGAATCCACTTTAATAGACTACTAATATGCTATGCAAATAAATGAATTAAACAAGGTTGTCTCCTAAATTTATACAATAAAATTTTTCTCTTTATGCCAATTTTTCTTGCAGCTAGTGAACTCTCTCTAAAAAAAGAGATAGTAGTAGTAAAAGTACTTTAAGAATCAAGTAGCTTATATTTAAATGGTAGTAAAAATTCCCTACCTAAATTACTTACCCCATTTCCTGTTTTACCAGCAACCATGCAGCGTGCTGTAGGCAATTTAGTCACACCCAGAAAGAAGAGAAAAGGGAAAAAATGTTCACTGAAATTAAGTTCCAATATCATTACTAAAGTGCTTAACTAATTTGCTAATCAAACTCTCTTTCTTAGGAGAGGAGTTAGTATTCAGAAACGTGGCAGTGACCTCAATCTCATTTAAAATCAGAAATGAGGTAAGATGCCACTTTGTAATTCTGGCTTGCTGTGGCCTAGGAATTCAACAGGGGTATCCCCTTCCTCCCTACAGATTTCCATTTCTCATTAATGAGGTATAAGTGTTTTTTAACATGGGTAGCTTACATTTTTTCTTAAAATATCTTACTATCTAGTAGGGAAAGGCCCCAAGTGACTGAGTACATACTATGTCCCCAAAACATAGAATTGAAGGCCTCAGTTTTTTTGTTTTTGTTTTTTTAATAGGACTAACACATTTTTAATTCTATCTAATTAAGGATATCCACATATAAGTGTTTGGGAGTAAAATGTACTCATGTCTATAACTCGCTTTGAAAAATACAACAAAAACTAAGAAGGTTGGGTGGAGAAATTGATGGCTAGATAGATATAAGAAAGCAAATATAGAAAAATAGTAACAATTGTAGGATCTAGGTGTGTTATATGTGTGTTCATCGTACAATTCTTTCAACTTTACTATACGTTTGAAAATTCTCATAATAAAATGTTAGGGAAAATGTTCTGGAAAGGATTAATTAAAAAGCTGAAAAAAATTGCTAAAACAAAGACAATAACATTCAAAATCACATTCGTTAAGAGGATTAAATGAAATTCATGTAAAATGCTTTGCATAGTAAGTGTATGACACTAAGATTTCTCAGTTTGCCATCAGACTCCCTAAAGAAAGGTAATCACATGTTCTGCCATGTGGCATTTTGTGAACATGACAGAAACATACCTATCTCTGCTTCCACATGTCACAAAAATGGGCAATTATTATCACTCACAACCACCTCAAGGTCTGGCTATATATATATATATATATATATATATATATATATATATATAGTAGTTCATACGTAGAACCTGTCCTTTTAAATTTCAAATGACCGGCAGGGCACTAGAGACTTCTAAAGACTTGTGATCATTTCGAAACATTAGGTGCATTACTTCGTTCAGACATGAGCCAAGGAGAATAAACTAAACACTAGCTAGGTAAGAACTAGACTGGTTCCCAATGCCTAATGTCTCATCAATACCTTCCGATTTGTTACTTTGTTTACTTTGCTAGCACAACCTAATAGCATGTATAGTACTACAAGATCCCTTCCTTCTCTCCTTCCATTTACTCAAGCCCGCTTTGAAACTGTGTGGGCAGGGTATAATACACAAATTACTAGGAGTCAGAAGACCTGGCTTTAAGGCTTTTCTGGCACTCAGTTTCCTAATGTGTAAAATGAGAGAGTTAAACTAATTTAAGCTTTTCTGGTTGGCTAAAGGTCATCATTAATGGACATTAGTTAGTATACTGTTTTGTAATAGAGGCTATTAAGACTTATAGACCTTGAGATCATAGAAAAAATGAATAATGGTCTCCTAAAGCTGAAACCTTGTAGTCAATGTTGCCCCATCTTCCTTCAGCCTCCATACTTTAAGAGATCCATAAATATTTGTTTCCTCATCTATAAAGGGATATTAATACTCTCCTTGCGGGGATATTAATATTCATTTACTGAGGACTTAATGAAACTGTGTATGTAAAGAACCAAGTAAGAATCCTGGTATGTACTTAATAAATGGTAACTATTATTGTTGTTTTGAATTAAAACCTTATCTGCAATTCATAAATAATAAATTATCCCTTAAAAAATTTACAAGACTTGATATCCTTCCCTCTAACTGCTATAGGTAGTTCTGAAACTTTCCTCATCAATGAAATCCTCAAGGGTATCTGAGCACTATAGAGAATATCTGTCCCTTCTTTAAGGAGACTCAGACTCTTCTGTCCTTTTCTAGAGACCCTTTTCTCTCCTCTTTTGAGGCAAACTCTGTTCTCTACAGTCACTTTCAGATGATGCCATCAAGTCTGCAATGTATCCTGCCATCCTCTGATTATAAAGTAGGGCAGAACTGGAGGTTGCCAAGGGAAACCAGATTACCATGTGTAACATGTAAAATTAAATCAAATGCCTTCAGTACCTGAGACCTGCTAAAGAGTTTTTCCTTCCTAATCCTCTGTAGGCTCCCTGCTCAAGCACGCCAGCAGGTTGGACAGAACTAATTACACAGCAGGGGCTGGAAGGCTGAATCCCAAAGAAGTCAGTGTTGCTCAATTATTCAGTTTTTACCACACACTAATAATGCCCTGGACCTGCTTCTGCTGAGGAAAAAGAAGTACATTTCTCCCTTTCAGGTCACCAAGATAATTTTAATAAATGTTATATTCCTTAGTCAATGGAAAAAATTTATTCTCCAGAGTAAGCAATTTAATTTCTCCTCCCTGACAGAACCAAATGGCATTAAAGTTATCAAGTTTAATCAAATTTGATACCAAAGGCAGTATGTCACCTCCTGAAAATTCAGGAACCACACAATTTAATCCTGGACTCTGCTTTAACTTTATTAGAGAATTCTAGGCAAGCCCTAAATGGGACAGTTGAATAATATGCTTGCTAAAGTGCTTGTGTACTCTGGTAACATACACACATGTACACGTACACACACACACCATAGAAATGGGAATGGCTTTTGAGCTTAGAGTTCTGAGCTGGTGGTACATCTAGCACCAAACAATGAGAGTGGGTAACAGCAGGGCCGGGGAATGAGGTTGATTCAAGCAGAGGTAGCAGGAACAAAGGACAGAGAGAGAAAGAGAGGCATTAAAAATGGCATGTTGGGGAACTACAATTCAGTAAAGTTGGAGCTTAGGGTATGTCTGTGTGCATAAATGTGAGTTAAGGGTTTAACAACTAGAGATGAAACTGGAAAGGTTAGCAGGTTTTGAGTGCCAAACTAGGGCATGAATCCAAAGACTGAAACCATAACATGAGAAGTGCCACATTTATGTAACTGCAAAGTCCCATGGCAGCACAAAGAAAGAACAACATTTGATTTCTGTAATTCATCAAGTCACAATTAACCATCATCTTCACACTACTGTTTTTCTTATGTGGTAGCTTAAGAGGAAAATAAAATAGTTCTTATACCAAAATTTCTTTATTATACATCGGAAAATATAGTGTGAGAAAGGTGTATATTCCAGAAAAATGATAGAAAGATTGTAAAAAAGTCCACTTTTCTCAGATGTGTTGCCTATCTAGCCCTTATAGACACCTGAGTCTGTAATTCCTGATAGAAGGAAACAAACGCTAGATTAAAGGCAGGCTCTGCCTCTAAATATTGTGCGATCACTTGCAAGGCAGCTTATCTCTCTGTGCCTTGGTTTCTCAACTATAAGATGGAGTTCAAGACTTCTTTATTTTGGGGGTACCTCATATGTGGTGAGATCTTTACTGAGAAGACAGAGATGAAAGACGAGTCTCTGCCCATAAAGGAACCCATGAACTAGGAAAGAATAAAGGGAAGTAAAATGATAATAAGCATTAATAATAATAATTAATAATATTAATAAAAATACAGAGCGGTGGGCTGTGACAGGGATATATTTAAAGGGGACATGTAAGGCATCCTCAGCTCTGTCTTGCAGGAGAATTGACACCTAATCTGAGCTCTAAAGGATTGGTTACTAGAATTAATTGGGTGAAGAATGGGGAAACCCTATGGTGCAAAGGCCAGAGAGCATCAGGAAGGTTCTGGGAACTATAGGTTAGTGTTCCCTAAAGAGCAGAGGATATATGACTGGGGATTGTGAAGGAGGAAGCAGGACTTAGATCATAGAACTACTGTACCTATGCTAAGGGATAACATTTTACACTTAAGGCAATATGGTGCCACAGAAGGATGTTAAGCAATGGAGTGGCATGATCACATTTGTCTTCAGGAATGCTCAATCTGGTTGCATTGTGAATTAGAGGAGGAAGATGAGAACTAAGGGAAATGAAGGCATTTGGTAAACTAAAGCAGTAATCAAGCAAAAAATAATATATAATGGCAGTGCTGGTGAGGATGGAGAGGAGTAGGCAGCTTTAAGAGACAATGAAGGCACAGACCAGTAGGACTTGGTGATCAGAAGTGATGCTGGGGTTTCAAACTACCACTAATGCCCTTAAAATTCTAAAGTCTTTTGGATCCTACACATCTCTTGGACTCATTTATAATAACAAAGATAATACAAATATAGACTTGTACCAACAAGTAAATGACAATAGTTGTGTGGGCAGCTAGAGGTATTACCCCTTGCTCCCTCTTCTTCTCCCAACACCCACACACACACACACACATTTATGTATTGTTCTTGCAACATACATAGCCAGTTGGGCACTAGGCTCAATAACGAGGTTAGTAACAATAGAAATTCTTCTTCCCTCTTCCCACCCAGCACAACTGCCTAAGATTTCCTTCTCCTCCTCCTCCCACCCCCCAGCCTACTACAACCTTGAACATCTGCCTCATGAGGGCCCGCTCCTCACCTTCTGTCAGGTTTGGTGTCAGGCGTGGTGGCAGAAAGAGGAAGGTAGGAGAGGAAGGGAAAATACACTCCTCTAACACTGCTTGACTCTACCACTTAGCTGAGGTCAAGTCTCCTCCCTCACATCTCCTCACTTCCACCTCTCTTCACCACCACCTCCCTGCCTTAATCCCACTCTTCTTTCCCCCAGTCTCTGATGCAGACCTGTGACAAAATGACTAACAGACTGAGTTTGGGTGTCTCTTTTGATAAATAAAACTTATGTCAGCCATGTTTAAAAACCCACCGAAATCCTCTACATTATCTTTCCTTACAGGGTTGAGAAAAAAGAAAATGAAGTGAGACGTAAGACCTTCTCACTCCAGCTTTTCCTTCTACTGTGGGCAATAAAAATCTTTAGATAGCATTAAAAAGGTTGAACATTTTATTTTTGGACAAGGCAAGAAG